GCCTGTTGCACATGACAAAGCCTTAGTACATCCCCTTCTGAGTGTTTTGGTGTGTGTGTGTGTAAGACGGGTTCCCTGTTTTTTGAATAGAATTGCCTGGCATTTTCTACAACTATTAAAGTGGCTAAGTGACCAAGGTATCTTCAGAGACCTGGGTGGGAAGCTGAGCTCACCCACTTTCTACCCATATCCAATTTTCCACCTCAGAGGACAAATGTGGTACTGAATAATACCATAGATGGAAAGTGCAGCGCTGTATTTATAGCACGGGATAAGCAAAGGACTAAACTTACCCAGAAGGCAAGGAAAAAGTCTTATTTATCTTTGCTGTAGGGTCAAGCACAGTGTCTGACAATTAATAAAGAAATTAGCAACATTTTCTCAATTTTCTCTTTCCATGTAAGTGCAGAACTGCTGCACATTCTTCACACTGGATAGACACTTTATATAATTATGAAGGGGGAAATGTGGTGACAGTTGAATTTATGAACCTTGTGCAATGGTAATTCAGATGTATTGCTTACTGAATAAATATCTTAAAGCTGGAAGGAAGTTTACAGGTAATTTGGTCCCTTTCCTTTATTGTATGGAAAGGCAACAGAAACATGTAAAGATGACATGACTGCTCCGATAATGCATGGGCATGCATCTCCAAGCCTCCTGCACACTACACCACAAGGGTTTTGATGTTCTATGCCTATTGGAACCAATGTAGTTCTATGTCCTGCTGCTGATAAATTGGATACCTGAGCCTCAAACTTGGAAAAACAGAGGAACAAGGTGGCTGGGGTAGTATGCGAGTTGGCAAGCTGCTGGGCTCTAAATGAAACTGAGCCCCATGGAGAAGAAGAAATAAACTAAAGCTTGGGTTCATCCTATAAAAAATGTGTCTGCCACAATCCCCATGGTCTCTGATCATCATCATGAATATGGCACAGGTCTATACCAATAACTGTATGTGATTCTCTCCTGGACAAACTCACCACCCTTGTCTTGGTCTTGGATCAAAATCTACTTTTTGATCTATCTATTATTAACTTATCGAAACTATTGATAGAAAAACCAGACAGAAAATCAGTAAAGATATAGAAGAACTCAACAGTACCATCAAACAACAGGTTCATTCCATTCAACAACAGCAAAATATACATTCTTTTTAAGTGCCTATGGGACATTCACCAAAATAGACCATATTCTGCGTCATAAATCAAAGATTAACAAATTCAAATGAATTTAACTCATATAGAGTGTATTCTCTTATTACAATGATATCAAACTAGAAATCAGTAAGAGATAACAGGGAAACTTCCAAACACCTGGGAACTAAAAATACACTTCTAAATAATCTGAGTTAAGGAAAAAAAAACTCAAGAGAAATAAATACACTGAACTTAATAAAAATGAAATTTCAACGTACCAAAATCTGTGAGAGAACAGTTGAAGCAGTGCAGAGAGGGTAATTTAAAGCACTATTGCTTACATTAGAATATTTACTGTTCATATTCATGGATGCTATCATTTTATTATTTTTATATATTCCACAATAAACTTGTGTTAAGTCTTTGCAAAAAAAAAAATCTCATGTCAAGAAACTAAGTGCTACCTCAAAAAAGAAGTGCAAAGTAAACCCAAAGCAAACAGAAAAAAAGCAAATAATAAATATAAAAGAGAAGTTTAATGAAATTGAAAACAGAAAAACAATATGAGAAAAACAATGAAACAAAAAGGTAGTTCTTTGAAAAGATAAATCAAACCTCTAGCAAGATGACAAAGAAAAAAGAAAGATGACACAAATTACTAATATCAGAAATGAAGCAGGGGATATATTATAGGCCATAAAGATATTAAGAGGATTATAAGGGAATATCATGAAAAATTCTACACATATAAACTAACACCTTAAAAGAAATGGACCAATTTCTTAAAAAGCACAAATGCTCACAACTTACCTAATATAAAATTGATAAGTTGAAGAGACTTATATCTATGAAGGAAATTAATTTGTAATGACAAAACTTCAGAAAAGAAATCTCCTGACTCAGAGAATATTGCTGGAGAATTCTATGAAATATTGAAGTTTACACAAACTTTTGCACAATCTTTTCCAGAAAACAGAAGATCAGAGGGCACTTCCTAACTTATCTTATGAAACTAGTATTACCTGATACCAAAACCAAACAAAGATTGTCAAAAAAAAAAGAAACAGAAAACTGCAGACCAATGTTCCTCATGAATAGAGAGGCAAACATCCTTAACAAAATATTTGCAAATAGATTTCAGCAATATATAAAAGAGGTTTTTAAAAAGAGTATTATCAAATACATAACTATGTGGGGCTTATTCTAGGGATGCAAGACTGGTTCAATATTTGAAAATCACTCAACCTAATCCACCATATTAACTGGCTAAAAAAAAAAGTCACATGATCTCATCTATTGATGCAGAAAAAGCATTTGGCAAAATTCAACATCCATTCATGATTTTAAAAAAAGTGACTTTCAGAAAACCAGGAATAGAGGGAACTCTCTCTGATAAAATATATATACAAATATATAGCTAAAATTACATTTAATAGTGAAAGACTGAATGTCCTTCCTCTAAGATCTGGAACAAAGCAAGATGTCCATTCACACCACTGCTATTCAACACAGTGCTGGAAGTTCCAGCCGGTGAAATAAGGCAAAAAAATAAAATAAAAGATATACAGATTGGTAAGCAAGAAATAAAAGTTCCCATATGAGATGATGGTATACACAGAAAATCCCAAGGAACCTATCAAAAAACAAACACACAAAACTTCCTAAAATAGTGAGTTTCAGCAAGTCAGAGGACACAAAATCAATATATAAAAAATCAACTGTATTTCTGTATATCTAGCAATGAACATAGGGAAAAAGAAATTTTAAAATACAGCACCATTTATAATCACTCCAAAACATGAAATACTTAGGTGTAAATCTAACAAAATATATTCAGAACTTGTATACTAAAAACTGTAAAACACTGAATGTAAGAAATTAAAGATCTAAAATGGGAAGACATATCACATTTGTGGATTTGAATACTCAACATAGTACAGATGGCATTTTTCCCAAACTGATAGAAACTTAGCAGAAGAGTTTTTCTAGATATAACAAGATAATTCTAAAATTCATATGGAAAAGAAATGGCTTATAAGAGTTAAAATAATTTTTAAAAAGAAGAATAAAGAGGTTGAATTAATCTACCCAATTTCAAGACTTATTATGTAACTATAGTAATCAAGACAGTGGGTATTACACAGTGATAGACACATAAATAAATAGAACAGAATAGAGAATCCAGAAATATCCTATGCCAGTTGATTTTTGGCAAATGTGTAAATGCAATTCAACAGAGGAAAGACAGTCTTTTTAATAAACGGTGATAGAAGGACTGGATATCCATAGGAAAAAAATGGTGGGGGGAACTTAGCTCTAAACCTAACACACTGATTTTATATAAAGACAGATAATGAATTAAATGTAAAACATAAAATTATAAAACTTTTAGAAGAAAACAAAGGAGAAAATCTTCAGGAACTAGGGCTTCATGAAGAGTTCTTAGTCATTACTCCAAAAGCATATTCCAAAAAATGTTTAAAAATCAATAAATTGAACTTCATGTATATTAAAAACTTTTCCTCTGTGAAAGATCTTGTTAAGAGAATGAAAAGACAAGCTACATACTGAGAGAAAAACATTTGCAAACTACATCTGGCAAAGGAATTATACCTAGATTATATGAAGAACTCAATAATTCAACAGAAAAAATAAAACAAAATAATCCAATTTTTAAAGGCAACTAATATGAAGAGATATTTCAATGAAGAGGATATATTGCTGGCAAATAAGCATATAAAAGTAGTTCAATATCACTAACCATCAGGAAAATGCAAGTCAAAACACAATGAGGTATCAACCTATTATATTTATGCCTATTAGAACATCTAAAATAAAAAATAGTGACAATACTCATTGCTGGTGAGGACTGAGAAACCGGACCTCTTATATATTGGCTGGTGGGAATAGAAAATGGTACAGGAACTTTGGAAAAAAAGTTTGACAGTTTCTTTAAAAAGCTAAACATTCAGCATAAAACCTAGTAATCATACTCCTGGGCATTCATCCGAGGGAATGAAATCTTATTTCCACACAAAAACCTGAATACAAATGCACATAGTCATTTTATTTGTAATAAAAACTGTAAGCAACAAAAATGTTCCTCAATAGGTGAATGGATAAACAAACTGGTATATTCCTCCCATGGAAGATTACTTAGCAATAAGAAAGAACAAACTACTATTAATACACACAACAACTTGAATGGATCTCTAAATCACTTTGCTGAGGGAAGAAAAGCCGATTTCAAAAGGTCACATACTGAGGGCACCTGGGTGGCTCAGTTGGTTAAGTGACTGCCTTTGGCTCAGGTCATGATCCTGGAGTCCCGGGATTGAGTCCCGCATTGTGCTCCCTGCTCAGCAGGGAGTCTGCTTCTCCTTCTGGCCCTCCCTCCTCTCTCATGCTTTCTCTCTCATTCTCTCTCTCTCAAATAAATAAATAAAATATTAAAAAAAAAAGTTCACATACTGAATGACTGCATGTATATGACTTCTAAAAATGACCAAAACACAGAAATAACAAATAGTGGCTGACAGGGTTCAGAAATTTTGGAGGAGGGAGGGGGATACAACTATAAAGGGGCACAGCAGGGGGGGTCTTTATGATGATGAAACAGTTCTATAGCTTGATTTTGGTGGTCCTTCCACAAATCTATGTATGATAAGATGACATGAAATCATGCACATACATTGTACCCATGCCAATTCCCTGGTTTTGATATCATATTACACTCATAAATTGTGTGACTCTGTACCATCTTTGCAACTTCCTGTGAATTTATAACTATTTAAAATAAAAACTATAAAAATATATCATCACAGTGTATTTTCTATTAGAATAACAAACAACGACACTCACTTCCAATATCCGGCCTCAGCTTTTTATCATATTCTCTCAGCAATTTGTTGAGAATAAGAGTCACATCAGTGTCTTGGGATTTTGGAGCCAAGACCCACTTTTGGTTTGATGATGAATCCTCATATTCATCCTCTTCCACCTTTCTGGACCTGTAATTATGGAACAAAGCATGAAGTATAAGTCGTAGCAATGGCTCCAGGAAGTATCTTAAGCTTTGCCCACTCAAGCACCACTGACATAAGTAGACAGTCCCCAATACTCGCAGCCAAATGGATTACCTCTAAAATGAAAACAAAATATCATTTAGAAAGAATCCAATAGGAGGGATGCCACTGCTCTTAACATGTTATAATGTTTTCATTAAATGTCACAAAATGATTCCTTGTCTATGTTAAGCTATAAACACGAAGATAAGCAAATCAATGCCAGGAGATCAAACAGCAAGCAATCAGCCTTGCTTGGTCCCACCCTGAGAACCTTTAAAGGTCCAGGCACAAACCTTCCAGATGTTTGTTAGATGGTGACTTTATCATGCTGTTTCTACCCCCTACTGCCAAGACCTCATTTTTGTTGAAGGTGAGACTAACTTTTGCTGAAAATAGCTGAGTCTGACTTTTGTGCTTCTTAAGGAGACTGGAACCTTCAATCTAGGTAGACATGGGGACATTATGAGGTGGTCTGCTTGGTCAGCACTCATGTGTGGTGACAAGGAGCAGAGATGGTGTTTGATGAATACCCTCCAGCAATTTGACCTCTTACAACATAAACTGATTCATTTCCTACAGAACAGGCTAATACAGACATTAAAAATTAAAATCTTTCTAGTATGTCTTAATCATTTGGCCCCTCAATAAATGGGTTGAAACAAATGCTTGAGCATCTCTGAGCTTGTCTTGTGCAGCAGGTCAGCCGCCTCTCCTGGGTGATACACACTGACAGGAGTACTTGAATGGAGAGGCCTCAAAATGACAAGCTAGTTTTCTCAGTGAGTGAGGCCAAATTAACAACACAGCCATTCAGGCTTGAAAAGAGGAGAGTCTCCTTCTGCCTTAAAGCAGCATTTCCAGGTGGACTTTCATTTACTAGGGCAAGAAAAACTTATAAAACAACAAACAATTTTGCTTGTTTCCTTATACTTTGTTGACATAAATGCCTTAATGATTTTTTTCTTCACCAAAGAGAACAAAATATAGAATAGAAGATTGTATTGAGGTTTATTTGTCCTGACTTGGTACGAGCTCATTTCTGTTTAGCTTCCCAAACAGAAGCCAAAATGTTAACATTATCCCAGGGCAAGTTGTGCTCTGGGACACAAGTTTCTTTAAGTTAATTTTTGGAATTGTCTAAATTATCTATAATGAACATGAAAGAAAGGAAGAGAAGAAACTTCTAAAAATTCATTATCTCTACTTTGTTTAAATGCTCACAATCGTATATATAATATAATCACATAGTTACATATATAGTACAATAGTATACATGATTTTATATAATATGTAATTATATGTATATGCCATGTATTATATACATTACAGTATTTCTATGAGTGTTAACTAGCCTTAACCTAGACTAGGGCAGTGTCACATAGTCTGGTCCTGGTTGAATATATACATATATATGAGATTTTGAAAATGAGTATATGGCATATGTCTGGCAGACTGACTTTATTTAAGTTTTCTTAGGCTTATCTTAGACTGTAATTCTATTTCTTGAATATTTATTGGCTAGAAGGTTAAAATATATCATCCACAGAAACTATAAAATGCTGTGAATTTTTATTTGCCCTGAACATTCACCATCAATAGGAACTGACAAAATTTGGGACACATTCAAGAAGTGATATGCTGCATTTCATTATTTGTAAAACTGAACTTTTACAAATAACATTATAGAATTTAAAATGTCACTTTAGAATATTTTATCAGAAATATTTTCAGGAATATTAATTTTATCATCTTGAAAAAAAAAAAGGACTAGGTTGAAGCAGGTTCTCTAGGACATGGTTAGCTGGAAGCAATCATTGCCCACAGGACCTGGCAATTCATTCTCCAGCAAAACCATTCGGAGGGACTACGGACAAAGGGGCAGATCACTTTGGCAGAATCACATACAACATTCTCAAGACACGTTCCAACTCCAACCACAGTGCTTTCCTCTCTCCCTCTTCTGTCTCTCTGCTTCTTTCTCTCTCTTCTCTTCCCCTCCCCTACCTTTCTCTTATTCCTCTCCCTGTTTCCCCTTTCCCACCCCCAAAGATAGCTCACCAGCACAGACCAGACTATGCTCTCCATGCCCTCTTATTTTCTATTGCCCCAATGGTCATATGTACATAGACTGAGCACACTAATTCTTCATCAGTTCTCTGTATACACACAGCCTTCGTTTTTGAAAAAGACTTTGAGCTACTTCAAAGGCAGGTATTATAATGAGCCTAATTCTCCCTCTAGTGGTGACGAGAGGGTTTTCCTGAAATTGCATAAGCTTCTTCCTTAGAGGCCAAGGCAGGTGAGAGTGGGAGAGAGGGGGAAGGAAAAGCAGCAGGGTCCTCTCCCACCCCTTTAGGAGGTAAACCAGAACCTGCAGCGCAGTGGCTGGGTTGGGGTGCACAGTGGCAAAGTGTGGGCAGAGATCCTCTTGCCCCCTTAGAGGCCGACACCGAGTTTCTCCCAATCCTGGTCTTCCGTCAGTTTGCTGCAGGACTTCAGGGAATGAATTAGAAGCCTCACAGTGCTAGTGTCAGACCACCAGCCCCACAGGAAAATCCTCCCTTTCATGAAAACCAAATCTCGTCTTAGAGGACCCACTAGAATATGAATAAAATAAGAATGATCTGCTTTTCTAAATTCTAGGTGGGCTATATATAATCTTTTGAGTGTTCTATTATCAGGAATGTTGGATCCTAAAAACCATCACTGCAATTAGCTTTTCTTAAAAAACAAATCGGCAATGTATTGTCATTGTCACAGAACTGCTCAACCCTCAGATGTTATTTTCAGGTCTTACAAACCTTCCCTTCAACTAGAAGGACAGAGACAAAGTCTGAAGTATTTTTAAACATTAAAAGGAGCTCCTAAACCTCAGAAAGCAGTTAACTGTCTGCAAGGTATCACCAAGGTCCAGGCATGCCGTGGTGCATTGTAATGCATAATAAGTTCATCCATGGGTGCCAGAACAGGGTGTTTTTCTCTCCACGGAGGTACCAAGCCATCACCACAGAGCACAACTCTCAGAACCTTTTCCAGGGATTCTGAACACCAGAAAGGCATTCCAGAGTGAAAATGAGAACCCTCTCAGCATTAATAATAGTTTTGAAAGATGTCACTGGACTTCAGATTATTTTACATGTCTGTAAAACCCATTCAAAGAACAAAGACGCTCTCAAAGGAGAGGCATAGAGCAATGCAATTAGTTTAAAATTTGGATTTTTTTTCAACTGATATGCAACCTCTATTATAAAGGCCAGGGAATGAACCAAGAGACAGAACATATTAAAACCATTATATCTGCCTTGGTGAAATGGAAGGATGAAGAATCCCAAGAAATTGTACATGTATTCGGAAATCCCTAGAAACCTGACTGCTTCATGTTAGAAACTAAGATATCTTCCTACTAGGCACATAAACTAATGAGGACAATAAGCAGTTTTCCTTATAGCATGTTAAGTAGCTACAAATCTAAACTATATGTAATTATCTAACTCTGAAATGCAGGTCACTTCATCCAGTTGGTAGCAACAGAAAGGTCATGCAGATGTGACTTCAGATCAAGATTATATACTTCAGATGTCTACATTATGCCTGGTGCTATCTGCTGGTCTCTCTGCCTCTAAACAGAGATACTTCCAGGCATAATCAACTTCAGAAAGTGCACTTCCATATCCTTCCCTAGCTCTCTCCTTAGACAGGAAGAAACTTGAGTTGAAAGGCCCAAGGAGTACAATGCCTGGTTGAGAGAGTTGCCTGTGTATCACCAGCTGACACTGTCTCTGGCACACTGTCTGCCTTTTACACTATCACCTCTTAATAGGGATAAGTGGTATGGAGGGGAGAACCGGGGCTTTCTTTGTCAGTGTCAAACACCCCTGTCAAAAGTGGGGAGTGAAATTGGGGGTCCCTTTATGTCTGCTAAGATTTGTTAATGTGCCTTCCTACTTCACCAGTATGAATGAAAATCTAAGACCTGGCATTGCTTGCTGACACCTGCAGGGCTAACTGCCCATAGGAAGGCTCTCTAGCTCTCTAGCTTCCAGATCCAGGAAATGAACAAAGAGTGTTTTGGGGAAAGGGGTGTCCCAAGACTCTTGGGATGGGGGTAGGAGGAGAGGCATGGAGCTGCTCTGATTTCCAAAGTCTGCAGGCTCTGGGCTAAAGATCTAGTCTGGGAGACAGAATTAAAGAAACCAAACCCAGAATATCCAGTTATATTTACAGCAACAGGGTTTAACTCTTCTGGTTCGACAGCGCTTCCATCCTCATGAGCCATCTTCATCCCTTCCAGGAGCGTTTCTAAGCTCCCATTAGCGGGTTGCTGTGCTAGGAGGCAGGTTAAGGGTATTTAGGGTAAGATCTTACAGTTACCAGGCAGAAGACTTATTATCAATTTCAACATGTTTGCTTTATGGGGGTAAGTGTGTGTATGTTCGTGTGTGTGAAAAGTGGCTCATCTAGAAGGGGTGCAATGTGTATAGTGTGTGTTTGCAGGGCCTGGGTCGGGGGAATCCTTTCTGAGAAGTAGGGTTCTTTCCCTTGCTCCAATCCTCTTCCACCTGCCCCCAGCCTGGATGCTCTTTGCCAGTGTGATATAAACTAGGCAGCTAGGAAATCATGACTTCTGGGTCCTGGGAAATTTCGGAGTGATGGAAATTATACAGAATGTCGGCCAATGTGTGTGTGTGAGCCCCTGGAACACTTGCAGGGAGGTAAACAGGAGGTAGACACCTCCGGCTCTTTATGATAGTGGTTTTCAAAACCCCTTAAAACAACCAGATCCTAAAAGCTTCAGGAGAAGCCCATTAATCTGAGTCCCCACATTCCTGGTTGCAGAGAAGGTTGCAGCCACCCAGCCTGGAGAGGCAGATGGCCATGTCCAGGGGGCAATGGGACAGGTGAGGTGCGGGCCGACTTCCCCTCTTCTCCTGGCCCGGCCCCAGCCGGCTATGCCGCAGCCCAGCCGACGGCGGGGCGCGCCGGGACTCCTGGCCGGCAGACAGCGCCCCCCCGCCGCCCTCCAGCCCGGCTCAGAGCCCCGGCGCTGCGGGGCCCGGGTGCCACTTACCGCGCGTGCAAGCCCGAGAACAGGCAGAGGAAGAGCAGCAGCTTCGGGGCCATGGTGCGGTGGAGCTTGGGGAGCAGCGTCCAGGGCCTCCAGGCGGGTGCGGCGTCCTCCGAAGCACGCGCCTCGCCTCCGCCCGCTCTCCTCTCCCTTCCTGCCTCCGGTGCCGCGGAGTGCGGCGCCACACCGGCTCCCGGCAGCCGCCGCCGGACAGGCGTGGGGTCTGGCGGCCCGCCGCGCCCCCGACGGCCGGCGGGTCTGCGCGCGGCTCCGCGGGACGCACGCGGGACGCCCGGCCACCGCGGCGCGCCGCTCGCACCCGGGCGCCGGATCCGCTCAACCTGGTGGCAGGAGCGGGTGGGCGCGGGCGGTCCCTGGCCCTGCAGCCCCGAGGCCCGCCGAGGCACTGCCCCCTCCGCGGAGAGCTGCGCGCCAGTGCCCCGGCGGTGGGCTCTGCGAGCGGGAGTGAGTCCGCCGCGCGCTCAGAGATGGGGGCAGCGAGGCAGCTCCTCTGGCAGCGCCTGTGAGGCGGTCCCGGCGGGGAGGAGTTTCCCCAATTACACGCCTGACAACGCGCGTGGCGAAGAAAGCAAGGTTTGAATGGACTCAAGAGTTTGAGGCCAGGAAGGGGGCGGGGCTCGGCGGGGGAGGGGAGGCTTGGGGATCCCGCAGGGAGCCATTAGAAGGATTCCAGGGACTGGCACCTCATCGTTGAGAGCTAGCCCCCGAGTCCGACGGAATGCGTTCCTTCTGTCCTTTCAGCAGACCAGGCTCTCTGACCTCATGTTGCCCGTCCTTCCCCGCGCGTCTTCAGCTAGATAGCCATAACAAAGGAGTGAGATGGTTTGCTGAAAGCGCCCCTTCCATGCACACGTCCTGCTAGGCCTACTGAACTCCTATGCATTACTGAGATTGTGTGTGGAAAAAATGGCTTGCTAGGGATATTTAGAAAAAAACACTCCCAATATGTACCATTCTAACACATACCAATAAACAGGTGAAAAAGTTAAAGGTAGGAGAGAGAAAGATCCTAAGTCAAAAAGTAAAAGGCACTTCGTTCAATGTATTTTCATTCCCCAAAGACTGAAAATTGCATTTATATTTTCATTTGTAATAGTAGCCCCCGAAAGATAGTCTGTCACCAAATAAGTATTACAATGTTAGGATAGCTTAGAATAAATCCACTAAGAAGTTTGCTTTTATACTGCCAAACAGTAGTTCTTATAAATTATTTTATATTTGAACTACTATTCATAGAATCATGAAAGAGTATGATAACTTTCTTAATACTTTTGTTCATAAAATATATAGAACAGTAAGTTGGAAGTTGGTGTTTTCTCTCTGATTTCTAGTTCACCCACATGAATGTGGTCATGAAGTGGAGTGAAGTCAGTGCAGTCAGTACTGGTTTCTTCCTTGTCATTACTGCCTTCCTATCTCTGTGTGGCCTTGAGCTCACTCCAGCTCACCGCTTCCCAGGGCTCCTTCTGGCATCCTCCTGTGCCTTCCAAATCTCTCCCACTTAAATGCACAGACCCCATCCAAGTCTTATTTTCTAAGAGGACCCCCAGCATTCCTCCATTCTGCCACTTCCAGAAATTCTTTCAGCTTCATGGGAATATGAGCCTTTATCATACTCTGCCCTAATCTCTAATTTTCTCTATCACGCAACTGAATACTTTAAAAATCAGTTAGATAATGACTTATCATTTGTTAATTGCTTATAGAAATATGTCAAATGTTCACATAGTTTTTAAATGTGCTGTGAGAAAACTGCAAGTAAAGAAAGAATTCTGACCCCCCATTT